GAATGTACTTTTTGATACTGTGTGTATGCGTTTTTGTTTCAGGTGTTTCTATAGCAGAACCATTTGTTGGACAACAGCGACTTCTTTCATTGCAAATTCCAGTTTCACGACCACTAGAAGGTGATGTGGAAATGGAAAGATTGCTCTCTGTACCGATCTACATATGAATTTAGTGCAAAGAAGCAGTTTAGAAGGAATGTGAATCGTGTTTACATACTCAGAATTGGTATCTAAATAGTTGTTTTGAAACGCATAACCCTTCTCAAACAGTTGTTTTTAAGAAGGGCAATTCATTTTATGATAACTGCCCTATTAGCTCTGCAATTTGATTATATAGGTCTAGAAAACTATAGGCTTAACATCAAATTAATGTAGCACATTTATGTGTCTTATTGCAAAGATTTCTCAGGTGTTAGTACCTTCTGCAAGTTTTGGGGCTTTCCCAAAGACTCACTGTCATTAGCTATAGAGGGATGACGACTTTATGAAAAACAAAACGCTCAAGCATCCGATTTGCCAGGTATCATTTACAGACGTTAAGAGTCAAGTCGTTTATTGACTTGTATCCATCAGTGTTCTGGAGAAAAGACGTTCGCCCTCTCTTCGAAAGTTGGGTTGAAGTGATCAACATAGCAATTACATCGTTAATATTGTAAAAATTTTCTTGGAATGAGGTTTGGAAAACTACGAAGAAGTAACTCCCACGACCGACTTCCCATTAACCTCGGCATTCATCAAGTAATTCTTCGTATTTTTGTTGAGCAAACGCGAGGTGTTATTGTTCTTTATTCACGAATAAGCTGACGTTTCGGCGGATTTCGCCTTCCTCAGAGCCTGGAAAGGTCAAGTTGACAGCAATCTACTCGGCCAGACGCCTCCATAGCCAAACAAAGAAACTCTAAACCAAAATTTCAATCACGTTGAACACAGCTTTGCACACTCACCGCTGTGTAGTTGTGTTCAACGTGATTGGGGGCCCTACCAATAGCACCATTTCACCCGATGTTCTTTAGACAACAAGAGCCTAATAATGAAGTTGATGTTAATTTTCGGATGTTTGGTTTGCGAATGAAGCTCTCAAAGTCCTTAATCACTATCGTGCGAAAAGATAAAGCTCAAACCTATGCCCCGTCTTGTACTGACTTATAAAAACTCATAAGTTAGTATCCAGCGATGATCTTGCGTCTAACGATCCATCACTATTTAAGGTTAGACCTATCATTAGCTGCGTAGACGGGCCAACGGACAGGATAACATGGTTTTTGACCCTGATATTTAACCAGCTGTTGGAACACATTCCAGCCCATCTTACGAATACCCAGGTGTTTCTGGATCGTCTACGTACTGCGTAGCCCAACAGCACGTGCGTGATGGAGTTCTTCGACGTTACCGCCCTTTATACAAACGTGTCGAATGCGCAATGCAAGCCATATTCGAACTCCTTACACAACACGAAGGAGAAATAAACATGTATGGCTTCAAGATAGAGCAGTTGATGGCACTCTTAAAAGAATGCTTGAGCTGCTCAATCTTCAGATGGTCCGGAAAGTACTACGCTCAAATAAGAGGGTTGGCAATGGGACAACGACTGGCTCCAAGCCTTGCCATTGCATTTATGTCTAAGGTGGAAGCACCGGTGACTGATCTCGGGCCGCTACTCTACTGTAGGTATGTAGAAGACTGCTTTGTCCTTTGCTCAACACAGGAGGAAATGGACAAATGCTTTGAGTTGTTAAACACACAGTCAGAGTATATCAAGTTCACCCGAGAAAAACCGAAAGAAAAATGGCTTCCATTCCTGAATGTGCAAATTCACCTGTCGGAGAATGGCTACATTACAAAATGGTACCGAAAGCCAAGTAGTAAAAACATTTTGGTTCATTACCTCTCCTCTCACCCCTCTCACACGAAAAGGGCGCTTATAAGAAACATGTTTCGAACAGCAACCAACGTGTGCACGGGAAGAGAGCAAGTCCCAGAACTTGGCACGGCAAATAGCCATTTCTAATGGCTACGAAACTGTAGCTCAGGATAGGTGTAGAGGAAATCGTAGGCCTCCAAACGACAACTCTAGTGATAGAAGGGTCCCGTTTATCCTACCCTTTATCTCAAATGATATAAGTACAGCTATAAAACGCTGCTTAAGAAGGGCGGGCTTAGAGAATTCGGTGAGCGTAGTTGAAATACCACCGAGTAATCTTAAGCGCCAGCTAGTTCGTAACCGCNAGAGGGTTGGCAATGGGACAACGACTGGCTCCAAGCCTTGCCATTGCATTTATGTCTAAGGTGGAAGCACCGGTGACTGATCTCGGGCCGCTACTCTACTGTAGGTATGTAGAAGACTGCTTTGTCCTTTGCTCAACACAGGAGGAAATGGACAAATGCTTTGAGTTGTTAAACACACAGTCAGAGTATATCAAGTTCACCCGAGAAAAACCGAAAGAAAAATGGCTTCCATTCCTGAATGTGCAAATTCACCTGTCGGAGAATGGCTACATTACAAAATGGTACCGAAAGCCAAGTAGTAAAAACATTTTAGTTCATTACCTCTCCTCTCACCCCTCTCACACGAAAAGGGCGCTTATAAGAAACATGTTTCGAACAGCAACCAACGTGTGCACGGGAAGAGAGCAGAGTCCCGAAACTTGGCACGGCAAATAGCCATTTCTAATGGCTACGAAACTGTAGCTCAGGATAGGTGTAGAGGAAATCGTAGGCCTCCAAACGACAACTCTAGTGATAGAAGGGTCCCGTTTATCCTACCCTTTATCTCAAATGATATAAGTACAGCTATAAAACGCTGCTTAAGAAGGGCGGGCTTAGAGAATTCGGTAAGCGTAGTAGAAATACCACCGAGTAATCTTAAGCGCTAGCTAGTTCGTAACCGCCTATATGACCGTCTATGTGCAACTCAAAATTGCATAATTTGCCCCAGTGGTAGAGACGGTGATTGCATGAGCTCGGGTATAGTTTATCTGATCTCCTGTAAGACGAATACGGTGACGAATACATTGGCGAAACGGGTAGAGCCCTCTGTGTCCGCATAAAAGAACGCCTAGCCGGTAAACATAGACCAAATACACCGCTAGGTACGCATTGGACCCAGAGACATAATGGGGACAACTTTGAAGTATGTGTCACGATCCTCGCACGCGAATCAATAACACAGGCGCGAAAAACTCTCGAGGCATTCTGGATTAATTCCAGAAATCCAAAAATGAACCGCGGGGAAGAATGCCTCATTATCACGCGTGATATAGAGCAGTATATAAGACTGCTTTTCTGATGTGAGGGGCACATTATACTTCCATGTGATTTCTGTGCGGTTGGTCTCTACGTGACATACTTAGTGGAAACCTCACATGATGAGAGGGGCACATTATACTTCCATGTGATTTCTGTGCGGTTGGTCTCTACGTGACATACTTAGTGGAAACCTCATAGAAAGCAGTGAGTGTGCAAAGCTGTGTTCAACGTGATTGAAATCTTGGTTTAGAGTTTCTTTGTTTGGTTATGGAGGCGTCTGGTCGAGTGGATTGCTGTCAACTTGACCTTTCCAGGCTCTGAGGAAGGCGAAATCCGCCGAAGCGTCAGCTTATTCGTGAATAAAGAACAATAACACCTCGCGTTTGCTCAACAAAAATACGAAGAATTACTGCGAAGAAGGGCCTTACGAAGTCGCGTTAACTATGATGCCAACCCATTTAGTTGTCGTAAACAATAGCAGTAGAAAGCTAAAGTTGTCGACATTTATCAGTCTCTGAGGGATGCGATATGCGTTCGACTTCGTTAGGAAGGTTTGAAGATGATTGAATGCATATCTGGCCTTTACAATGATTAGCGGTGACCTACCGATGTATCGAGCCAGTGCTGCTATCCTCTCAGTCAAGTCTGGTACCCATTTGGCCACCCCGTAGAGATGGGGTGCTTGGTGAAGCTGGGGTGCAGGAATCGATTCCATGTGTATGGCAAGGCGCCTCCAATCACTGCGCTACACGCGCCTTTAAATAATAATAAAAGTGAAAGTAATTGTCCGATAAATCTAAACGATATCTAATGGTAGATTGGTCTCGATGTTACAATAGGGACTTTGTTGTTATTTCCAAATCTTAGGGTATGAATATTGGAAAGGCTGTAATTCCTTAATGATATTAAAAGATGCTTTGCCTAAAAGATCTTATCAGTATAATGTTTGTAAATCAAGGTCTCTAAGCAAGGTCGTAGTGTGTCTTGTGATACATTTCTGCTAAGCATCTAAGGACGGGTGTTTCTAACTCTTCTTATAGAGATGCATATGTTAAAGTGTGATTACTGCGTGGGTATCTTGATATCGTATTGTGCATTAGTACCACCTTCTGACACTTATTTCCACTTTGTTACTTGTCTTTCATAAATCGTGTCTGTGTTTCTTCAAAGGTTCGTCTTCATTCATTAGGTTATTCCGTTTATGCAGCCGATTTTTACCGTATAAATGATTCATAGTGCTCTTCAGAACTTGGTTGAGTACGGTTTCGAGTTCCTGAATGTAATATGAACGCATACATGTTGAAAGATTACGAATATTCAAGCTATAATGTTAACCTTTTATTTGGTGCCCATTACAATTTTTTACGGCACAGTTATTATGTGTGAGACAACCACAATGATGCTGAGATATATTCGCAAAATGCCGAATAGCAGTCGACTGCGGCGAGGATTGAACATTACATTATCCTATCAGAACGCATCCACCACCACATTATGCCGGTCCTTCGTCTCGTCTGTCTCTCAACTTGTTTCCTATCTACCAGTGCCATCAGCAATGTAGCAGAGACCTGCGGCTCGGCGTTTTGCGAATATCTCAGTATCATTATGGTTGTATTCAAGCTATGGTTTTCAATCTTATTTCATTGAGAAAGGTGGATGCCTTCCATCTTCTTTATGCAGCGGTCCAGTTTCTATCTCGTATTCGATCTACTGTAGTAAGAGTATCACTATGGATTATTTGTTTAGATTGAGAGATGCAGTTCACTGCAAAATTACTAGGTGGGAAGGAGGATGCGGTAACAATTGATGTAAGTTTGTGTTGGACGTTCTGAGGAGTTTTCACCCCTAATGGGCAATTTGTAAATCCACTAAACACGTTTGGGGTTTCGTTACAGGAATACGGTGCCTTTTCTCTTTTCTTTATTTATCTATATCTGGGAGATTTTGCATTCGAAAAGGCTAAGGTGACTGTCCATGTTTCTCGATGTAGTGTCGCGTTAGCCAACACATAATTGCTTTGTTGTTACAACTTTTGCATTTTAGCTGTCTCCACAAGTGCTGGTTCGACACCTGAAGCAGAAAATTGCCGATGAATTCCTTCTTCCTTGTGGTTCTTTTAAGGTTTTAAATGGTGGGAAACCTTTAATCAGTAAGTTTCTGGTACTAAAAATGCCTACATCTCCGTTGTGTAATTCGAATAAAAATGGAGTAGTTGGACCACTCTAGGTGAAGATCTACAACTTCCTGCGGTGGGTTTGAAGGATGGCGCTAAGCTGATGGTCGTGCTCAATACTGGTGATATGATGAATGTACGTGAATTTTGTTTTCAAAGATTATTATCGTTATTATTGGGTTTCAGTAGTTTGAAAATTCTCTAAAAGTTAGGCAATTTCTATATAATTTCTGTGATTTAACTATAAAGCACCATAGGTAAATTTCAAGGTATTTAGACTCCTGAAGACCACGAGATGGAAGCAAGGCTTAAGACCATATTGGGAGAATTTGCAACACCCCTGAATATGCTTCGTCTTCAACAAGTTGGTGTTTTTGCCTCTGCTCCTATAAGTTTCCAGTTTTAGAGGAAATTGCTATGAAATGTGCTCATAAATTTTCAATTTGAAATTTCAATCACTAGCTATAAATGCTTAGTAAATTGGTGGCAGAGTTTTTTGAGAGGCTCGCTGCAATCAGCAAATGCTGGCGACCTAGGAATGTGCTAGGACAATAATGTCAGGATTGTGGAGAAAATTGGCTTGACCAGCATTCAACAACATTCGTAAAGAGAGAACCAGAGATCTTAACTAGTAGGGTAACTAATGAGCAAATGCGAAAACCTTCGCGGATTGCTTATACAAAAAAGGAATCGAATGGAACAATTACTGGCATCGGGGCAAAGTGTGATGTCGGGTCATCTAGAAGAAATTTTCGTACGTTTTTAGCGAGATTAATGAATCTGTAATTATGATCAAATCCTTCGCTAGTGTGAAAATTTGGGCGCCATCTACTAACATGCATCGTTTTCATCTCTAATTAAAAAAATTGTGAAACTTATTTTCTTTCCCTTACGACGTAATTGGACTCGTGTCACATAGCTTCTTAAGGTTGTTGAATAGTTACTGAAATATTTTTTTTATATGGTGGAAGTTTAATGGTCGATATGACTCTTTCCTTCGAGATTCGAAAGCGGTAAGCCATGATAGGACATTCGCAAGTCATGACTACTTGCCAACTAGTGACTTTGCTTTTGCCGGCATAGTAGTATCCGGCATCCTTACCCTGGTTTACTCTCTGCTATCTTCCGGATATAAATTTCGAACTCGTTCTCAGCCAGGGTGTACTTGCGGGAAAATGAATCCTAGCTGTATATTAAGGTTTCGACACCTAGAAATACTCGATCGTCAACTGCAATGAGATGGTAAAGCATTGTAGGCACAATTATAAATTGTTGAGAAATGACATATGGTTACCATCAATTTATTTCACTCTTTTCATATTTTTGTGTACATTTGCTATTTAAGTGGAGCTTTCCTACGAGATTTCCATTCAGAGCATACAGAACTATGTCAACTTCATGTCACTGGACGATCTCGAGCGTTACGCAAAAATTAAAGCCCGATCTGGTAGTAGTAATGTTTAAAGCGGTAATTTCTTTGTAAGTGTAAACTGTTGCTGTCTTGTCAAAGAATCTTTTTTCTATTTCACCTCCACAATCTTAATGGCCGATAATGTGTTTCATGTGGTTTTTGGCTATTTTGCTATAAAACTTTTTTTGTGGTGATCTGAGATTGGGTGATGTTGTCAACCTCGCATGAGTCCGCTAATGCTGGTTACAGTTCTCGAAGGATAAAATTACCGAGTATTATTCCTCATTTAAAGGACGTTCGACTACACGTATATACGACGGTAGAAAAGACCATGAGAATCTAGTAAAATAGTTAATTCTTGTCTTGCGATGATTTGCTCATAGTTGGGTCTTTCGGAACCCTATTTTGGTTCTCTAAGCACAAATGTGCACTCTTGCACAAAGTCGAGAACTTAATTTTCCTGGTGTTAACAACCATATGGCTTTGCATGGTTTTATCCAAGACGTATTTAATGCAACTATATCGGAGAAACATTAAAAGAGTTTATGTGAACGATTCTTTTGTTTTTAACAACAAGAAAGTTACATCTTAATCTAGGCTCGTTTGTGTACAAATCGCTAGCTCTAAGAGCTGATCGAGGACTATCTGAAGATGGAGTTAGAGTGGAATCGCTTTGGCAATTTCGTACCACCGAAGGTTAGACCACTTGACTGCTTCAGTGATACTGTTGTGGTGTGACTTCATTTTCGTCCGAATCGCACAAAGCTCGGCTTTCGTTTCTCCTTTGACATGGCATCGGCACGCTTCCCGAATCGTACGAAGGACGGCTTTCGCTTATCCACCTGAAATTGGATCCACTGATTTGAAAGTTTCGAAATATGCCAGAATTTGGGAAGCAGTTGAAATGCATATGGTTTATTTTTTGCGCGTTCCTGATGCTTGTTATTATGGAGAAATTAAGGGTGGGTCGCACAGTGGTAGTGATGTCGATCATCACGAGCATGGTGCTGGTTCGATGTCGCCCCGGCGCACCAAACCTCTCATCCTTTTGGGGGTCGACAAATTGGTAGCAGAGTTGTCCGAGAAAAATGACTCTGCGATCCAAATGGGAGTGCTCCAGCCCGGCTTTCCCAGGGCTTCAAAAAGAGTCGTCTCGACCAACGTTCTACGACATTCAAACTGAAATGAAAATCCTCAAGTAACAGCTGAAGAAAGCACACGTAAAAGTTGGAAGAATTTAGTGAATCCTGGATGCGAGGAAGCGAGTCGAATGTGAAAAGTGACGGAATCCGATAGGCATGAGGACGGGTCGTATGAAATAAAAAAACGGGGATATTCCCTTCCCTTGAAGTTCATTAATTACTATTTTGGGGGTCTGGACATAGCGTGATAGGCTAATGCTAGTTTCTTGCGTAATTTCTTCATTGGGGAATCACAGAATGAGTTGTACATTTCTTGCTTGTTATACACCTAGTTATTGTAGAATTCAGGGAGTTCTTAAATTAATCTAATGAGTGCATAATATTGCCCTGACATCCTTACGAGCTCGTTGTTATTCACCGTTAGTTACATTACTACTTAAATCTTTTAGCATGGCTGTAGTACATGTATCAGCTGTTGTCCCGTTGATGGTCGAGTGACTCGAGCAGGCGCCACTAAATCATCCATTTTTCCCTGTCGCGTGCAAGAGTAGCCTAGTGGGTTCTGCTCGCTCAGGGGGCACGTCGAGCATTATATATTTCTTCTAGGCTTTTCGTGAAGAACTCTGACTAGCGGGTCGGTGGTATTTTTGCAGTACGTTTGACATACCGAGGAATCCAGTCACTAACGGCTCCTATCCATCGGTTGTCATTTATGTGCATTACGTGTATGGCCCACCTTGTCTTCGACTTTTTTTTTCGAAATCCCGTTTGCTCACGTGGCTGTCCTTCGTCTAGTGTTCTGTCAATCCTGTTTAGGATAAGTGGAGTGAAAGGTTTATAGACGACAGATAGTAAGCAGATTGGGCGATAGATGGCGATATCGCATAGGTCACCTTTCTTGAACAATAACACGGTCTTGCTGGTCTTCCACTGAGTAGGGACGCTGTATTCAGACAGATAACGTGTAAAGACCCGAGCCAGTGTGTTTACGAGGACTGGCGGAAGGTTCTTCAGGTGTTCTGATGTTATCCTCTCCGGATCTGGTGCTGTTCGATTTTTCACCGACGAAATGGCATGTCGGATTTCGGAAGGGAGAACCGGTGGTGCAACATATCCATCCCCTTTATTTCATATGACGGAAGGTAGACGTGGCTATCGAGGACATCCGAGTAGTATTCGTGAATGATTTTCTCCATTGCCTTTCTGGACGCTGTAACTGTTCCGCCTGCCTGTGCGTCGGAGTGCAATCATCTTGGTCTTGTGTTTGGCGAAGCTTCGGTGGACTTTGCGAATGTTTTTCCCAGTTTCTGCAGCTTCAACCATTACTGCTGCTCTTTTCTTCTTAAGATCTTCTTTTATTGCCTGTCTGTATTGTTTTGCAAGTTCGGACGTTAGTTCGCGGTTGCCTGCAGCTCGTGCGATTCCACGTTGGCGTATCAGCTCGAGTGTTTCTGGAGACAGACGTCTCTTGATGACTTTCGAACTCTCAGCTTTCATAGCGATTACATAAAAATGTTGAATGAGCCGATCGTATTCTTCGTCGATATTATCGACAACGACATCTTTCGAACAGCCGACTAATGAATTGAATAAGTTCCAGTTAGCGGTGGTTCTGGAACATCGGCTTTTGAATTTAGCGGCTTTTTCTCCATTCCGCAAGAAATAGAATCTTGCAGGAAGGAGGCGATAGTCCGACCCCTTGTAGAATTCTAGGACAACAGCGACATCGGTTAGGCAAGACTTTCTATTTACTATGATGTGGTCTGTTTCGTTATGGTACTTCCCACTGGGAGATTCCCACGTTCAGCGCTGAGGGTGGGCTTCTGGAATTGTGAGTTACCATGGATTGTCTTGCTCGCCGTGATAAACTCACATAGCCGCTCACCCTATTCGTTCCATTCTAATCCGTGGGTCTCAATGTGACGTTCTTCTTGGTCCAATCTTGGCGTTGAAATCTCCAATGATGACCTTGAAGAATGTGTGGTCTTCTCTGTAGAACTTCTCTAAGTCCACACAGAACGCTTCGCTTCTTTCTTCGTCATAGTTTGATGTCGACGCGTAAACGACGAAGGTTGTCAAAGCCGGAATTGATCCTCGTCTTTTCAGTCTTGAACGTCCGATTCGGGTTGTAAGTTGCTCGAATGAAGCGATGATCATGGATAAACTAATGTTGACGAAAACGCCGGCGCGCTGACTCTTCTAGTGTCGCATGTTCCGATGAGCAGTTCTTCTCCAGTGTCATAGACGGCGTTGAATGGGTGGCGTCGTTTCGTTTCGGCCAGGCCGCTGACGTCTTACCTCGTCCTTCATGCTTGCATGAGCAACCCTTCTATCGAGGACTGGGATGCAAGTGTACGTGCGTTATAGGTACAGATCGTCACCATAGTTCTTTTAAATCCAGGCAGCTTCCATTGGCCTTGAGATTTTAGCAACCTCTCCGTACTCGTCTTGCCCAACCCTGCAAAAGCTCTTTCAGGGTCAGGGGAATGAGAGCCCGTTTTTTTTTGCTGTGTTTAGCATTTTTGATACCCACTTATAGCTTAATAGGCTCTGAACGTGGGGGATAGGTATACTCACAGGTAGTTGCCAGTCTCTCCTAGAGTGAACATGGAGCTTATTTGTTGGAGGCGACTCCTAACCGCCTGCCATATACTTCTCTGTCACTTGATTGCAGGCTTTTGGCCGAGTTGACTCGTATAATACAATCCGCATAAGCAAGAACGCACTCATGCACGCATGCATCAATATGCCTAGCAAATACAGAAAGTATGTGCCAATTCAGCGCAACAGAAACAGGGAGTCCGTCCCCTGGATCTGCCTGCGTCTCAGTGAAGCAATGGTTGCTTTTGGTCCACGAGTAACCCGCTATCCGCCACCTGGGGATGCGCCACGTAGCATCGACTAACCGGCGAGATCCCTCATAGGAGGGAGATCCGTGGATCATGGACCATATCTAGATAAATAGCTGGGGAAGTGCAGTTGTCAGGGATTGCGTTCTACATACACGTGGTCTCTAGTTCCACCCTGCCCCAGGTGAACCATACTTTCTATTCCTCCACTGTCGATTAACTGCCACTGGCAGAAGTTCTTTGCAGTCCGTATAGCAATTGCCTGTTATGAAGGTGTGTAAAGCTCTAGCAAGGCTATCCCGTGACTCCAGAAAGAATTCCAGAAACTCGACGGCATTCAACTATATTCGCGAAGAAATGTTCTAAGGTACATAATTTATGTGAAGTGGGTTGATATAAGTAAAAAAACTACTTGGGTGTTTGTAACATATACGTCGGAATTACCACGATACCAGAACCGTTCAGAATCGGAATTAGGAGTTGTGCGTTTATCTATATCTTACTTATCTTATCTTCTTACACCGAGTCCATTTTCTACTTACTGGAATGCTTTTTGAAAGCTTCAAAACCTTGTTTGAAATCTGGAAAGCGGTTTTTTTTCTTGACAGATAATGGATGGCTGTCATAATCGGAACTTCGAAAAGGTTACGTTTATGGCTAAAGCAGAGTGAAGAACTACAACGGAAAGATTGATGAAATTTCTGCTGTAAGTACATCTGAAAAAGTTGACAGTATGAAGGAGAAAGGTCATTTTCTCATTTTGTATTGAAATACTTGATGCTTGATACCTGAATGGCCCATGCTCACTGGTTGTGCGGACTCCAGCATAGTCTCCATTTTTCGGAGATTTGCAGGTTAAGCCACTGTGGTTCGCTGGAATTCCGAGTACAGCCTGGCCAAAGTCTGCTCCAGGTCGTCTCCACCACAGATAATCGCAGCCCTTCTGGATTAGAGGGACATCTGCCACCATGCGACTAGTTTGATACCAGGACGGCGGTGGATCCTGGTATTGGCTTACTTTTATCTAGGTTTCGTGATGGAAACGCCTGGCTCCTCGGCTTGGGAGACTCTGCCGCGGGAACGAATCCTTCCTCTGGACATCGCAGTCCGACACCCAGGCACACCTCCCCGTCATGATGGGGCGGTAATCCTTTGGGAGGGTATTGACGTATAGTAAGCTTTTTTTTGCTTATTCAGGTTTCACGGCCTTTACATAATGTTTGCAGATTCGTAACTGTAAGGGCGTTTTCGAAAGTTAGCGCAAGATGCGGTTGTTGGTGGTTAGGTGAATTCTGAACTGTTTCCTAATTCTCAACCATTATTCGTTTTAACAGAGTTGAAGTGTAAATTACGTAGAAGGTGTCGTCTTGTTGGGCGTTGAATGATTTGTTTGAGTGTCAGCAAGACCTTCGCTCGTTTCTTGCACGTATTGGTGTTTCCCAGTGAGTGCTTTCGATTAAACGACACGGCTCGCATCAAGTTTCTTCATGAAGAAATTTGCCTACCTATTCACTGGTCTGCCTGTAGTGTTTCTTAATCCCATAGGAATAACTAGCTAATTACTCTTGTAACCATGTCGTTGAGACTCGTCATTTGCTGCTTCATCTGATTTTCGACCTCCCGATGTAATAGTATTTCTGATCATTGGTCGTCGGTCAGAATGTCGGATTATTCTTCCATTTCCATAATGCAGAATGCTTCTGCTATCAGTAGTGCCCTCTAGTCGTTTTAGCGCTGTTAATGATGCTTACTCGAAGCGTGCTTTATGGCAAGAAGAATCGTGCAGTTGAAAACGAAGAAATCGAAACTGGTTCTCTTTGTCCTCTTAACAACTCTTTATTTTTCCATGAGCAGCTGAGAACACTCGTTTCATGCTCGGTTCCGAAGCAGATTCCTGCATGTTGTTAAACATTTTTGAAACAGATTGATGTTTGGAGATGTTCTTTCTGTTAAACATGGATAGGAACATCAAGAACGAGTCCATTTCTTGCAAACGTCGTTTACGAACACCT